TTTTCACGTTATGATTTTTTCTCTGTGATTTTGACATGTGAATTTCTTTTGTAGTTTCTGATTCTTGTGTGAGACTCAAGCCTTCCAGTTTAGGTCTGCTTCTTTTTGTAAACTTTATGTGCCTTTGTGGTTTACTTTTTGGGCTTAAAAAGCTGGTTCCTGTAAGCTTCTGGTTCTCTTTTTTGATTTTTATATTGGAGTGGCCGGATTCCTTTTGTCTTCAGGATTTCCCACAGAGGCCTAATTCAGATGAGGGTCGGATGTTTTCAGGCTTTCTCCTAAGGTCTGGATCCCTCCAGGAATGATTTTGGCCTCAGGAATTTGGGGGTTGGACTGGCCTGGGAGCCTGGCCCAGGGAAGATGCTGGTCTAGGACAGCTGGTGCCCATGTCACCCAGAGATGCAAAGGCAGATTGGGCGGGAAGAGGCCCCAAGGACTCCTGGGGACTGCACTGAGGAGCTGGGTTGGTCCCGGAGAGAGGACTGTGGGTAGGAGAGCAAATATACTACATTTAAAAAAATTTGTTGATTTTTTTTGTGTGTATATCACACAGAATATCCCAAAGCACCTTATTCAACTATACATGCACTTCCCACCATAGCCTCCCTCCCCCCACTGGAGCCCTTATACTCTGATATCCCTGCTACTGTCCGCTGTGTTGTTGGCACCCTCAGCCATTCCTCACTACTTGCCCTTCTGGTGGATCTAGTCAGCCTATCTAGAGGTCTTTGTTTTAGGAGGGTCAGCTGTTCCTCATCAAGCAGTAATCAGTTGTCAATAGTCCTTTAGATAAAATTGGGGTCTGCTGTTCATTTTCGCAGTTCTATGCTGGGTTACTATCTGGGAGTCCCTTTGGCCACCCTGGCCAACAACTCCAAAGAAGGTATCTCGTATCTGGCATTGTTGCTTGTTATGTAGCCTTTAGCTATGTTTCTAAACCTTGATGTTTACAATAATCTTGTGTCATATTTCACAAAGTTCTTCCTTTTTTCTGAGACATGGTCTCACTTTGTAGTTCATGCTGTACTCAAATCCCTCCTTGAGTGCTTAGATTACAGAACTGGACCACATGCCCAGGTTTTTTTTTTGGTTTGGTCTTTTTGAGACAGGGTCTCCCTGTAGCTCCTGCCTGCCTGAAACTCGCTGTGTAGACCAGACTGGCATTGAACTCACAGAGATCCATCTGCCTCTGCCTCCCAAGTGCTGGGATCAAAGGCTGGGGGTGCAACTACCACACCTGGCAGTATCTGTTGTTTTTTGATGTGAGCATTCATCGCTGCAAACTTTCATTTGAGGATCTGTTCCTCAGGGGTGACATGGGCTTTGGGGGAGGCCCTAGGTTCCTTGTATAATCCTCCCTCCCCCTTTCCCTTAAAATAACCCCATTTTTATCCTGATCTCCCTTCTTTTTTAAAAAAAAAATTTATTATTTTTATTTTTATAAGTGTATTGGTTGCATGTATGTAAATGCACCCATGTCATGCAATGCCCGTAGGGACAGAAGAGGCCATCGGATCCCCTGAAACTGGAGTTACAGACAGTTGTGATCTGCCATGTGGGTGCTGGGATTCGAACCCGGGTCTTCTGCAAGAACAACCAGTGTTTGTAGCTGCATCTCTCCAGCCCCTTGATCCCTTCTTTTTTTTTTTTTCCGTCTTTTTGAGACAGGGTCTCCCTGTAGCCCCAGCTGTCCTGGAACTCACTATGTAGACCAGACTGGCCTTGAACTCATAGAGATCCGCCTGCCTCTGCCTCCCGAGTGCTGGGACCACAGGCGTGCACCTCCATGCCCGGCTGATCTGCCTTCTTAAGGCCTGTTTCCTACTGTTCTTCTCTTTCAGGTTCTTTCTTTTCCTTTACCTCCATGTTTCCTTTCCATTATCCTGGTTCCTGTAGTTATGTCTGGTTGCATACTTATTTATCAGAGTCTGGTTCTAGGATCCACATATGAGAGAGAACATATGTCGATTTTTTTTCTAAGTCTGTGTTACTTCACTTAGTATAACAGTTTGTAGTTCCACACATTTATCTGCAAATTTCATGATTTCATCTTTCTTTACTGCTGAGTAAAACTCCATCGTATAAATGAACCACATTTTCGTTATCCACTCGTCAATTGAGGGAAACTTAGGTTGCTTCCATCTCCTAGCTATTGTGAAAAGAGGAGCAACAAACATGGATGTACAAGTGTCTCTGCAATAGGATGAGTTCTTTGGGTATATGCCAAGGAGTGGTATAACTGGGTCAAATGGCAGGTTCATTTGTAGTTTTTAAAGAGTTCTCCACACTGCTTTCCATAGGGGCTGTACACGTTTGCAGCCCCACCAGCAGTGGATGAGTGTTCCCCTTCCCCCACATCCTCTCCAACATTTGGTATCATTTGTTCTCAGGGTAGGGTGTTAAGGTAGCATCATATGAAAACCAAGGATCTTTAGGAAGTTTTGCCTTTGAACTCCAATCATAACAGATTTGCAGATAGAAAATCTGGGCCATGGGGTGGGGTTGGTACAGATAAGGGAGGGTGTCTAAATCTGATTAAGATGTATTTTATGGGGCTGGAGAGATGGCTCAGCGGTTAAGAGCACTGACTGCTCTTGCAGAGGACCTGGGTTTGATTCCTAGCACCCACATGGTGGCTATAAACTGTCCTTAACTCCAGTTCCAGGGAAATTTGTAGCCATCTTCTGACCTCCGTGGCACTGGATGACACGGGTGCACTCACATACACGCAGGCAATACACTCATAACACATAATAAAAATAATAAATAAAATAGTTTAAAAATAAAAGATGTATTTTATGAAATGCACTACTTTCTAAAGGAAAAACCATGTGATAAACATGCTTTTTCTTGTGGGCTCTGAGAGGACATTTATCAACACAGCAGTCGTGGTGGTGGTGATGGCTGCTCTGAGTGGAGCCTGTGCTGTGTGTCTTACAGTAGGAAGTTTCTGGCACCATGCTCTTGATTCTTCTGTCCTAGTGTGAATTTCCACTCTAGTCAGAGTGGAGCCAGCAGAAGTGTCCTGGATCACAGAGCTTCATGGCCAGATGCAGGTTGATGCAAGAGCTAAACTGAAGTGGGAGGTTCATCCCCTGCAAACAGTGCAGTATGGGTCTGCATTGTTCCTCAAGGTTCACAGGTCAGCATGGCTTAGTTAGAAGTTGGTGAAACTCTTGAAGAGATGTGGTTTTCAAACTGTGAGCCAAAGTGTATTTTTCTACTTTTTAAGTTTTAATTCTAACCCCATAAAATGTTTTCTTTTTTAAAACTCTGTTTTTATCTTAATGATGGGCTGATGGCTAACACAGACAAATTGGCACTGAGATGTTGGATTTCTTCTGTTGACAACACCTGTGGTAATGTGGATGAGATTTTGGGTTGTCTATAGGTGGGTTTTTGAATACTTGGGGAAGTGGGCTAGAGAAAGCCCACAATTCCAGAAGCAGAGGGTGGTGGGCAGCTGTGAAGGATCAGGCATGGGAACCTTAATAGAATGCAAACCTGGAAATTGTGTTCATGGAGGTATCATGAAAATAGTCTCCCTTAGGGACTGTTTTTAGAATTTTATTTATTACTTTTACTTTTTATGTGAATGAGTGAATTGCCTGCATATATGTAAGTGCACACATGTTGTGCAGTGCCTACAGTTAGAAGGGGGCATGTTATTCCCCTGGAACTGGAGTTACAAATGGTTGTTAGCTACCTCTGGTCCTTACAGTCTTTCCACCCCCTCTTCCACAATGATCCCTGATCCTTGACATACTGCAAAGGAAGCTTTTCTGTTGAGAGTTGAGAGATGCAGTAATCTATGGGTATAATGATAACCCCATATCAATTTTCCAGATACGGTTGAACACCATATCAATTTACCAGAAAAGTATTATTAGGCTCTCATCCGTGTCCTGTGACCTGTCTAGCCTCAGGTTACTAGGCCTGATACCAATGTCAGGTATGGATTGCATCTTATGAAGCACACCTTAAATTCAATCAGAAAATGGCTGGATATTTCCATAATATTTGCGCCAGTATTTCACCAGGGTCTGAATCTTGTCAGGCCAGTTGTTGTTGTGGCTCTCAGGATTCACAGCTGGGTGATGCTGTTGATTAATTTTCTCTTCAGTTAGATAAACATAGTATCTTCCAGTACCATGAAATCAGTAGAGATGAGGCTTTAAAGTCAGCACCAGCTTGATTTCTACTTGTCTGTTCTACAGTTCATGTATGTAGTGTCTTCAGCAAAGGGGGCTTACTGTGGAGTTCTGGTGGGTAACCAAGAGAAGGGTCAATGTTCGAGGGTCTATGTGATCCCTGGTAAAGAGTTTCAAGAGTGGGCAGGTCTGGGATAAAAGGGTAGTCCAGAGATCTGGGGTGTCAAGAGCAAAAGTGGGCCTGTGCCCAAGGCTAGAGGGAGAACGGGATGTGGGAGAGCCCTCAAGTCTTAACAGCTCCAACACTGTTGAAAAGTCTAAGTGCAGAGTAAACATTCACACTCCAAAGAGAAGAACAGATCAGGGAGGAAGGCTCAGATCAAAACGAGACCTGAGCCCAGCAGGGCAAATAGCATATCACAGCTCCATGTCTGCCACACAGGGTACAGAGCTGCATGATGTGAGTTCAAACAGGCTTGGGCACCTGTGCCTTTATAGTCTTGTCAGTTGCAACTTCTAAGTTTTGACTTTGTGTAGGCTGGGTAATTCTAGCACAAAATGATTATTTAAAAACAATCATGAGCTGGGCGTGGTGGTGCACGCCTTTAATCCCAGCACTTGGGAGGCAGAGGCAGGTGGATCTCTCTGAGTTCAAGGCCAGTCTGGTCTACATAGTGAGTTCCAGGACAGCTGGTGCTACAGGGAGACCCTGTCTCAAAAAGACCAAAAAAAAATCATGAATATATAATTTAAAACATGCTAGTAATTAAAGAGAGTTATGATAGTCAAGTTAAAAAATCTCCTGAATTTCAAAGCAAGATGAAAAATCTGACCCATTATCCTTCCTCAACAGTAGGTAGACCTGGGTGGTGAGTTTGGGGAAACATGGCCGTTTTCCTCGCTGTACCACAGTGAGGTGGGGATGAGAGGAAAGAGCCCAGAAGTCACCTTGCCAGAGAGGATGCCATGGGTGGGTGTCCACCACCCCATCCTGTTTTCAATAAGGAACTTTGCACGGGAAGTAAGACAGCTATTTCCCAACTCATCCTCTGCTGTGGTTCCAAATAACATACATGACTTCTCTTTTTTTCAGAAACAGCTGATGCCTCTCAGTTCCACACTTCAGACACTTTGCAAATGTGCCCTGAAGTAAAGACATTCAAATACTTGAAGGCCAGGAGCACCTATGATCTGTCTATGGTTCCATTTCTTGAATTTCTAGGTCTTGGAATCTTGTGTGGGTTGATCGTATTTATAGACATGGCTTGAATGAGACCTTGGGGCGACATGTCTATGGGCTGGGTGGGTTGCATATGGAACCTTAAGTTGCCTTAAGGCCCATTGCATCCCTTGGCACTAATGTCACATAATGACAATCCTTCAACAAATTTCATTTATCACCAAAAGATAAAATTCCAATCAATGACAGACCATACACATGATGATGGTCCACAGGGTTTATCTCCTGTGACATCACAGTCATGTTGCTTTATATAAGCACATTCAACGATGCTTGCAGAGTAAAGAACATTGCCTACATTTGCATTTAAAATATTTTATTTATTTATTATTATTATTATTATTATTATTATTAGTCTTTTTTGAGACAGGGTCTCTCTGTAGCCCCAGATGTCCTGGAACTCACTGTGTAGACCAGGCAGGCCTTGAACTCACAGAGATCCGCCTGCCTCTGCCTCCCGAGTGCTGGGATTAAAGACTTGTGCCATCATGCCCGGCTTATTTATTATTTTTATTCAATGTGTACTAGTGTATTGCCTGCATGTGTGTAAGTGCACCCATATCATGCAATGCCTGGGGAGGCCAGAAGAGGGTGTCAGATCCCTTGGAACTGGAGTAATGGTCATTAGATGCCATGTGGGTGCTGGGAACTGAATGAGGCCCTCTGTAAGAGCAGCCTGTGCTCTTAATGGCTCTCTCCAGCCCCTATATGTGCATTTCTTAGAACATAGTTTGTTGTTGGTGACACCAATTTAACTCCATGCTGTGTAGAAGGGTTCATATATCATCAACAGAGAGAATTTACTCACAAGTTTAAATATGTGTCAACTTCCAAAAGCAATCAGTATCATTCATCATAGCAACAAGGAAAATTTAAAACAAGA